TTTGAACCCAGGACGTTTGTATCACAGCTCGACAAGGCGTGCGGAAAAAAAAAACACGCGAAGACGAGTGTGTGTCCTGTGTTGGTTAGTTTGGTTAGATTTAGATGGCACCTTTTTAGATGGGTGTTATTCCGTTTACCAGGACCATCTATTTTCCCAAAAGGACACCTATGACCACCACCTTTCCCTTTGTGGGCTCCATTTTTGTACGACCAGTGTCGCCCAAACCCAAGTCAGGCGGTTTGGCAGGAGACCAGTTGCATGCAGTGCTTGTCAAGGATGTTAAGGGGTGCAATTGTTGGAAACAATTGGACTCCTTCAGTTTCGAGCTTTCAGAAGGCACTGAGGATGTTGCAGGAAACGAAGCAAATTGCAGGCGCATTCTGATTTTGAACCCCTTAGGCTTCCAGAAGGGCCCGGCATGTGGCCTGCGTTTTTTGAAGCACCGCCAACAAGACATCATGTTGCGTGCTGCAATACGACTTCCGCGGTGCTGCCTGAGTCGCAGTTGTATTTGGATCAGGTTGGGAAACAAAACTTAAACGTTGCAGGACCTGGCATTCATGGTTGTACAGCTTGTTCCAGTCACAGTCCCTTAGAGAGAGTTGTGTCACGCCCTCATGCTTGTACAATTTGTTCCGGGGAACCTTTTTGGTAGAAGAAATTTGCGCGTGGGTGTGCAATTTGTTCCAGTCACATTCCCTTCGAAAGAGCTATGTCACGCCTCATGGTTGTACAACTTGTTCCAATCATATTCCCTTGGAAAGAGCTGTGTCAGGCACTCATTCTTGTACAATCTGGTCCGGGCAACCTTCCCATAGATAGCGGTGCGTCCTGCTTCATGATTGTACATGTTGTTCCATTCACATTCCCCTAGAAAGAGTTTTGTCACGTTTGTTGTTCTACACTTTGTTCTGGGTAAGAAAAACTGTGTCACGCCTCGTGGTTGTACAAATTCTTCCGGGCCATCTTCCCTTAGGAGGAGGTGTGTCCTGCTTCATGGTTGTACATTTTGTTCCAGTCACATTCCCGAAGAAACAGTTTTGTCACGTTTGCTGGTTGTACACTTTGTTCCGGGCAACCTTCCCGAGAACGAACGGTGTCACGCCTCGTGGTCGTACAAATCGTTCCGGGCAACCTTCCCATAGAAAGAGTTGCAACTGAAATATCTGAAATATCTGGAATATCTGGAATGTCGGAATGTCTGGAATATCTAGAATGTCTGGTGAAAAGTTTCAATTCTCACCCCAACATATGTAGTTCATAGAGGTTTCTCTTGGCATCTCTCTCTCTCTCTATATATATATATATATTATGCATCGTTTGTTTTGATGAGCGTGTTTGTGGAAACTACGTTATCAAATCAACTCTTTTTGTTGGATGTGACAAATTCAACTGTGGCAAGATGTTGTATGTGTTTGTTTGTTTTTGGCGCTGTCTATGATACTAGGTTTGTAAGGCACAGCGTGGGTGTTGCGAGCCTCTGAACAGTTGGGGTAGTTTTCCAGGGTTGCTCAGGGTGTAGAAGAACCCCTACTGTGGATGGACGAAATACTGCACCACCCAAGACACCCTGGAATGATGATTACCCATGGCTTCTTAGGTGGTGCAGGATTTGGTCCATCCACAGTAGTACTCTAGGAGGGACACTTGGCAACCGTGGAGTTCACTTTTCCTCTTGAAGTCCCAGTCCTTGTTTGGTGGGGTTTCTGCAGAATCATTGCTTTTTGCGAGCAATCTCTGTTTTCGCTTGCTTGCTGCTTTTAAGGTTTGGCAGGACATGTTGAACATAGGTGGCACTGGTTTCAGTTTGGTTCCAATCACGTACCAGTAGCCAGTGCAATGTTGTGGTTTTGAGGAGGCCACTATCAGGTTACCCCCAATTGGTGGTTTGGATTTGTGGCTTGGGGCTTTCAGCCCCTGGTTCTTGTTGAGGGTTGTTGTATCGCACTCTGGACTCTGGGATTGCTGCCCAACACGAGTTCGAGATGCCAAGGTTCTATTCTGAAATCGCTCAGGAACGCACAAACTCCCAGTGTTGGGATGGAAGAAATGCTATGAACACTGGTTGATCACCTGCAGGATTTTGTCCATCCACAGCCTGCATCCCCCGATTTTTTGTTTTGGACATATTTTACAGTTTTGCTTCTTGTTTAGTGGTCGAAATCCCCCACTGAACTGCTAAAATCTGATGATTTTTGCTCCCCTTCCAACGTCAACCGAGTGTTGCCCCAGTGATGCCTCCCATCCCCACCCTTCGGTCAGGAAGGCCATGGACCACGAGGAGCTGTGCAGCTACGTGGAGGAGCCTTCTCGCTTTATCTTCAGCAACGCTTATAAGGAATGGGCAGCTTCCCCTTGAGTCCTCCTTGAAAAACAACCACTTCTAGGGGTTATTGGGCACCCTCCACAAAAGACAATCACCGAATCGGAGATGCTTCACAGATGCATCCAAAGTCACGCTAAATCAGCTGGTGCAGGTGACTTTTGCATGGGAAATGGGTTGGTTACACACATGCTTGTCCTTGGGTGCAAGCGATGGGAATCCGTTTAGGGCCTGTTTAGGTTCCCTGAATTTCCCTGATATTTCACCAATCCAAGCCGCTCGAATCCGTGGCTTGCCTATCATGGTTCATTCCTACTATTGGTGATGCACATATATTATATAATGATATATATATATATATATGTATGAACACTTGCATCACACATTGTACACGGACAACTGCACATTTATGTATTGTTCGTTATGTATATAATGTATACTAAATGTGTATATTTTAACATACGCATTTATACACATCAATGTTGGTTCGTTTTCAAAGACGGCGGGCCTCGCTACCTCCAGATCCCTTCGCGCTTGCGCAGGCCTGGCTGGACGCGAGGCAGCCGCACCAGGCTTGCGGATCGATTTGGGTGGGTTGGGTGGGGGGGGGGGACTTGTGCGAATGAGGTACACGAAGAGTACATATGTTTTAGATGTATATGCTTATATATATAGCAAATATGGTCACCCCCCACATACAAATATATATATATATATATATATGCTGTGAGACTCGTAGAATCTTCCGGCTTGAGTTTGCATGTGTATGAGTGTGTATCTTTAATGCGTTTCAATTGTGGCGCAACGTTATTTTCGAATTCGTGCAACATATGGCGACCTCACAAAGGAGGTTGTGGCCTCATTTCTGATTTCATGATGAATTTCATGTTGGTAAATTCTTATTCTGCCCAGCCCACTGCCGATGTACGCTCTTGCAAGTCATTGTAAACATCGCTTGCATCAATTTCGAATGAGTTGCCGGCGAGATGTCGAAAAGGGGGAAGTCCATACCTCCCTATGATATAACTCAAGCAAGTGCTGTTTTTCCAGGGAATTCCCACTGGATGCGCGCTTTAGAGTTCGGCGACCAGGTGGTCTCATGGAACTATGACGACAACCGGGGCAGACGGACCATCAACGCCGGATCCTGATGGACGCCCTCAAGTCATTTGGAACCCACCCCCCCATTTCGGGTGGGTTTTCCATTTGGCTTCCCTTTAAAACCCCCCGGGAAGCTCATGTTGGGGTTTCCCGGCAATGAGTCCTTTTTGGCTGTTCATTTTGGGAGTGAGCTGGGTTTGATGAGGCCAACGGTCTAAAATCTTGCCACCAGACGCGATTGCAAGAACCGTCTCCCTACCCCTAACATGACCGCACTTGCGAGACATCGGGTTGTTCGACAAAAACAGCTTGACAACAACTAAGCATCCATGTTTTTTTCAGAAAGAGAAGCATTGCCTACCTTGAAGCTTTCTTGGCCATGTAAAAAGCTCCAAACTCCTTGGGCTTTTTGGTCGGGCGGGGGCCATGAAGTGAAACGTAACACATGGGTTTGTCAGCTGAGGCCCACAGGTTGGCTCCTTGTGGTTTCCCCGAACCCCACTTTTAGGTACCAACTCCAAAGATAGCCAAAAAAACAATCACGGAACCGCAACGCTTGCCAAATGTTCTCAGAAAAGGAGCCAATGCGGGATTTCAACAAAAACTGCATTCTAGGGGTTGACTCCTATTCCGTCATGCGACAAGGTGTTTCCCGGGGCGTGGTTGTCTGGCAAAGGATCGCGGCAATGAGAAAGTTCACCCTAGAAACATTGGACAACTGCTCCAAACCAGCTCAATCGAACTCTTGAAAGAGAACCTATGCGGGGTTCAGATGGACAGATCGGATTTGATTTGTTTCCTCTCTGTTTCTTGTGGTACTACACGCATATGACGGGAGACTCCTATTGCAGATGGGTAGATGTCCAAATATGAGGGTTTGCCTTTTTGGTCCGTCACTGAAAACCGAAATCGAACCAGGCTGGCATTTGGAGGGGGCCCCAGGGATCGGAGTCAGAACTTTACTCCGACAAACTTGGAGTCAGCTCCAGGCCTCCAGACTTTGAACGAAGTCGGGTTTGCAAAGCTAGGCCCCCTAGTAGTACCCTTTTACCCTTTTTTTGGGGGAGGGTTCCCCTACTAAAATAGACTACAGAAAAAAATCGGGTACCCTTAGTCTAAGCTCTCTACTGGAGGACCTAGAAAGGTTCGAACAATCGAGGCTGAGGCCGCCAATGTGCAACCCGCGCATGGATTCTTGGCACCGAGAATTGAGTTCCCAAGACTTTGGGTTGCACCTCAGCTTTCATATCCCCAGCCCACAAAAAGGGGGGGATAGTCCAGAGGGAGAGTCTTTGTGTTTTGGAGGTTCCGCGTGTCACACCACGCTTTGACATATGAAGCGTCGATCCAGAGCCGAGCAAACCTTTTCAAACTTTGGTCTGTTTTGGAGGTTCCTCGTGTCACACGACGCTTTGACATATGAAGCGTCGATCCAGAGCCGAGCAACCCTTTTCACTGTTTGAGGAATCGCCCTTTGTCCAAGCAAGGCCACTTCCCGGCATTAAAAGGCAGCGCAAGGGGGATTCCCTCCCATTCGCGTTTCGGAGTGCGAGCTAACAATCTAGCTTTTCAGATCGGATGTTGTCTTGGAGACATGGCCAAATCAAATAACTAGTTTTGGGGTAGGCATGGGGCCCCAAACATGCCCCCTTTCTGCAGCCAGTGGCAGTTTCCATGGGACATCAGGGAGTTGCAAATATGGCCCCCCAATTGGGCCCAATTTCTTAAGGTGACATCATGATTTTTCTGCGTGATTCCGTGCCAAATGGTTGGATACAGATCTGAACCTAAATGATGTCCACCAAAGGGTCCCCGAAATTGAAGTCACACCCACATTGAGCTTCGAGCAACTTTACCCGCACTGAGATCTGGCACGTCCACGTCTACTTCCAGGGTAGAGGCGCCAGCTGGGGACAACAGCACCATCCCGCACAAAAGATCTCAAGTTTACAGAAAATGGCTTGGAGCGAGGGGCAGTTCAAGTCGTCATTCACTAAAGAAAACAACCGCACTCGGAGGCGTCTGCTAAAACTACATGTGTTTCCAACCTATGTCCCACACCCGGCGAAGTGCAAGAGCGGTTCCAAGCAAACAAGTTTGTAGTCATAGTTGTCCTTTGGTAAAATAGATGGTCCTGATAACTGGAATAAAACCAACCTAAACCAGTGCCATCTGTTTCTAACCAAAACGACCTACAAAAAACACCCATATTTGTAGTGTGACTACTTCCGTACTGCTGCGACCTCGCATTCTCTTTGCTTTCAAGGGACTCAAGGCTAGTGGCATGCCTGGCTGCAACTGCTCCAAGATGGGCTCGGCTTTCTGAATTCCAACGCGTGTCAAACACAAACACATACCCCTTGGATCTTGCATAGTTCAGCCAGCTGTCTGAGTGATCTTCCCAGAATTGACTTTTCTGGTAGCCCCCCCATCTACTAGTACCCACCACTCCATCCACATCCAACCCATCCACCCATTCACCCATCCAATCCATGGGATTCAAGCAGAAACGACATGTCATACGCCTGCGGTGTTCAGCTACCAACTCCTCAGTCCAAAGCCGACCTTTTGACCTTTTGGCTTTCCCATTCTGGCCCATCTTTAGAGGTTCCAAAACGTCCATTCCGGGATCACCTTTTAGTTCTGGGTCCTTTGGGCTGAGACTCTCCCCGGCAGCCGGAGCAGAGCCAGTTCCAAGGGCTCAAAAGGCGTCCCCGGCGCGCAGACTTTCTCTCAAGGCCCTACGCCTTGGGAATCGAAACAGGAGGAACCCACCTAGATAGGAGCTATGTTGAGAATTGGAGTTATGTTTCTTCTTTTAAGTTTGTACCTTTAAGTGGTCTTTTAGACCAGAGGGAGTTTGTACGTATGAGTTTATTTTCTCTTTCTTTTTCGACCGAAGGTGGCAGTCATATGATCGAAACCACCTCTCGGTTCCCCCCTCCCTTTCGCGCACGGGCAGGCGGCCAGCCACCCTTGTTGACCTGCCCTTCGTCCTTGCGTCGGAAGCGTGAGGCATGGACCTTGGGCTCGCCACATGCTTTGGGTCTGTTTTTTGGGGGAGGCGCTAAGATGGGGGGGTTTGAAAGGGACACCAAAATGACAACCACAAGTCTGATTGGGGGGGTCCCCTTTATTCTGAGACAAAGCCTTTTGAGCCGTGGCTGGTGGGAACCAAGCCCTGAAAATTGCAGGTTCTTCTTTCCTTACCAAGATTGGGACTGGACAAGGAAGCTCCTGGTCACATTTCTGCCAGTTCGGGGTGAAAGAAAGAGCTGCAGAGCAGGCTCGATTTGCCCCTTGCCTTACTATGGCGGCTTGCCTGGAAGCATCAAAAGAAGCTTGGCCTTGAGCCTGGCGAGGATGAGGCTCCCGAGCTCTGGACAAATCAAAACATGGCTGCTGGGGTCTCCCCCGAAACTCTTGTATATGTGGCCATGGGTCAAAATCCAAATCGTACCCTGAGAGAACATCCCAATCCAACCACTAAAATAGGTTCTAAAATGGGTGGTGACCTACCCCAGAATGGTACCATTGGCTTTGACCCACAGCCATGTCGGTATTGGAGAACGAAGCAGAGGTGCATAGCCCTGCAACATGTCATTTTCTGCGTACCCCAGATGCGCACGACTCCTGCTTGAAACAAGTCCCCTTGCTTGCAGGAACGCCTGGAGCCGGCTCGGCCAGAGAAGAGGCGCCGGTGTTGGGGTGGTTGAGGTAGAGCGTTGGTCGCGTGATTCTTTGAGTTGTGCTTCCAAGTACCGACTTTATGTCGGTCAGGAAGCCATGACTTTCCCAGTGGTCAGGAAGCCAGCAATGACATGGGTCCACTCGCGTGTGTCAAGCACCTGTGCGTGGAATCCAGAGCAAGAATGAAGGGGCCAAAGGAGCCTTTCCATGTAGTTTGGTCCTATCCCTGGAATATGGAGGCCTGTTGGTCACTTCTTTTTGTTCTGGGAAATCCGTCGCGTCCGCTGTCAAGGCCATTGACCTCAATTAACTTATACCTCCTTTGAGTGAGTAATGGTTGCCGTGTTTTTTGGTTTGAGCTTTGTTGTCTCGCGCGGCCGGCCAGCTCAGAGACCGAAGCAAGCGCATTCTTTTGTCAGTCTACTCAAACCGATGGGAGCAACCACGTCCAGCTCCGAGGCAGTTTTTTGCACTCGCGCCATGGCGAGACTTCCGCTGCTGTTGGGAGTGCTGGGCCATTGCCTGGCAGAGACTGCGCCTTTCCAGTGTGCTGAGGGGCAGGCCGGGGGGCAGATGTCTCGCGGGATCGAGTTGGGCACTGATGGCATGGATGCGGGCACTGTGTTTGTGATACCAAGGCAGACCGTGCGCTGTGAAAGTGAAGTCATGATTGACCCACATCGGTATTCTTTCGATTTGCGCCAGATATAGTTCTTGCAAGTGGACCTGAGGGCAAAACTAGCTGACCCATGAGGAAGGCCCATTTGTTTGCTTGGGGTTCAAGCTGAGTTCGGACAGGGAACCCTAAATAGATTCCACCAGATGAGTTCCAGCTTGCAGGGGATGACCATCAAGCTCTAGAACTCATTCGTTAGAAGGGTCACCAAAGTAAGGTTGGTCAATCGCGGAGTGATTTCCATCAGGCGCATCTAGGGGTGACATGAGCAACGCACAAAGCCCAATTTTATGCGTGGTTTTGCTACCCAGTTTCAGGTTGCAGCGTGGCCTATGAGAAGTTTTATCACCATGTTTGTAGAGCCCACAGTGGATTTTTAGCAATTTTCCAGGTCGAACTCTGAGCCTGCGGCCTCTTTTTGATATTACGGAAGGCCAACCTTCAAACTCTGTTCATGACACGGGTGCTTTCAGTGGTTTTAGTTGCCATTTCTGAGCCGTCCCGTGGCGTTTATCCCTTCTTCTTTTTTTGGCGCGTCGCTTTGTCCAGTTGGCACCCCACCAAAGGGGCAGCTTGATCTACAAGTTTGAAGAGGAAGTACTGCGAGGCAAAGTTGGGAAACAAGCGATGGACACCCCTCAAAAAGAAAGAGCCGGCAACTAAACACGCCAAAACCACCCATGGCATCAACACCCTTATCAAGCACGACTGTTCGGGCATTTGAATAAACTGAACAACTAGGCAAGCTCTTTCGGTTTCCTTTGTTCCCGACTTGTAATGTATGGTTGTTTCTCACTTCAATTGATGCTATTTGAATACTGGGACGGCCTGCAACAGATAGAAGTGCCAAGCACCATGCGGGATATGCTAACCTAGGGCTCCAGACAATCCCCACGTTTCTTAGAGGGGCACAACCCAGACCACTTTGCTCCACTGTAATTGCGCAAGTCAAGAAAATTGGGTGCATTTGAGCCGCTTGGGGGAGGTTGTTCACTTTTCTGGACAGGATGCAGTGGGCCGTTGGGTTCCAGTTCCAGAGCTGGAAATCAGACAACCCCCCTAAGGAGAGGGCATTCATAGCCTGGTTTTCCTTGAGCTCGCAAAAAACGCCCGGGAGCCGCGAATCGCTGGGCCTGGGGAAAAACACAAGTCACGCCCAAACCCACAGGAAGCTCCACCATGTTGGGGGGTGTTCGGTTCCCCTCTTGAGGCAGCATGTGCTTCCGCATTTTTCAGCGCACAAACCATTGGCCTTGGTGGTGTCAACGCAACAATCATGCAGGTTTATGCATATTTCACAATATGTCCATCAAACTGTGTTTTTGTTGGGTAGAACTTTTGAGGTTGCCCAGGAAGTCTACAAGCCCATATTTGCGTGTCTTGTTTTCGCCAAAACGTAGGCCACGTTTGGCATTGTTTCGGATGAAGTTTTGGGAAACCATTTTTCTGTGCTGCTTCTAGAAGCAGGCCGGTGGGCCGCCCAGATAGGGCCTTCCGGGGGAAATGGTAACTCCCCCATTTCCTGTTCACGTGACTGACAAAGTATGTTGACACGTTTTGGCTGCAAACCAGCCCTGACGATGTCAAGCAGCACGCTTGAAATTGAGGAATGCGCTGCGGTTGCCAGTGCATCGTACTGAAAAGCATTATTTTGCTGCACAAGCGCGTGTGCCAACCCTTGCTTCTTCATGGCAGCCGTGCTTCAAACCCATTTGCCCCCGCAGTGTGAAAGGCAGGCGTTCTTGGATTCGCTGGATAGTGACTGGGTGCGTCCCGGGCAAACCCGCCCGGTCTAACCATCATGTTGCCCCACTATTTCGACACTTGCCCATATCAGCTGGAAAAAAAGACACCTGCAGGGGAAAGCGGGGTTGCAAGCTGCAAAGCTTACTAAGTTTGGGTTCCTTGTATCCTAAGAGTACCCCAATTGGACAGTCTCACAATGCAGCCTGAACGAACCCCGTCAAAAGGCCAAACAAATGCGGCGGTCTTGGTGTGGTGCTTTTCGGTTTTCCGTTCGCCTGCTTGGAGCCCAAAAGCCCAAGCGTCAGCTTTCCTTCGATTTGGACAGGTTGGCTCCCCGGCCGTGGGCTTCGCTTCGGCCGCGCCGAAGCCGCGCCGAAGTCGTCGACCTCAGGCCTGCGAGCCGGACAGGGCGGAGCTGCTGCAGCGCAGGGGAAGGAAGCGCCGCGAGAACGTGCCCACAG